AACGCAGATCACGACACCCACGCGAACCGCCACGCTGCCGACCGCCTACCGGCGCCTGAGCCCGGTGGAGCTGGAGATGCAGGAGGGGGAGGAGGAGCAGGAGACGACGGAGGCGAAGGAAGGAGCGGCGAGATCCATAGATTGGCCCTGCCTTCGGCCAAAGCCGTGGCTAAGGGGAAGCCGCGCGTGGAACCGATGGTCACGTGCGAGTGTGGAGCCGGATTCAGCGGCGTTCTCTCACCACGCACCAAAGATACTCCTGCGCCCTCCGACGAGCACGTCCGCAGGAGCACCACATCCCAGCGGCGAGGGGCCAGCAAGCGGACCGCTTGCGCTGCGCTGGCAGCGAGCCCCGTCTGCGCGCAGAGCGGCGAGTTTACTCGCCCCAGCAGCAACTTCTTCTTCTTCTTCTTCTTCAGCCGGGCCGTCATCAGCCTCAGGGAGTGCTCTTCCACAGCAGCCAGCGACATCAGCAACCGAGCCAGCACCTCGCCCAGTGCCCCTCCCAGCACTACATCCACGCCGGCGTCCAGGTATGCCAGCGCAGCAGCCTTTGGTGGCCGCCGCGACTGCAGCAGAGCCACCACCAACGTCGGCGGGAGTCCTGCGCCGCCCAGCAGCAACTGTTCGACGGCGACCTGCCCAGGCAGATGGCCCCAGGCCGTCCGATTCTTGGTCACATGCGTGCCCTTCCTGCGGTAAGGACCGCAAGCAGTGCAAGTCGCGGGAGAACTGTCCCAGCATGCCCTTCGAGACCTGGAGGGGGGCGACGCGATTGCGCACTATCGCGGAGTACGGGGAGGAGACCGTGAACTCGTGGCCTCAGCAGAGCCCCCACTGTGGTCTGCCCTTCTGGGACGTATTCGCGAAGCGCGTGCACGTCGGGCACTGCAAGAAGCGGCGGATGGCCGCGAACCTGCCGTTGGACGGCTACCCCGGCTTTCGGCAACTCTGAGCTGGTCGTGGACACGAGCCAGGGCATCTTTGAGCCAAACGGGCTGGTCTTGTCCTTCATCATGTACGTCATCTTTCAGATTAACATCGACGAGTTCGGCGGTGTTTTTTTTTTTGCTGTGGCGTCCAAGGTTGCTGAGGAGGCGGAGGCGGAGGAGGAGGAGGGCTGAGGAGGAGGAGGAGGAGGAGGAGGAGGAGGAGGAGGAGGGCTGCTTGAGGAGGAGGAGGGCTGCGGAGGCGGAGGAGGAGAACGAGGAAGAGCTGGCACCCAGCACGCCGGCGTCCACCCAGAGGTGTCCAGCTGCGCAGCACCACATCGAGGGGTTTGAGCGGTGTCGTCTCTTTCGCTGGGGCGTCAGAGGTTGAAGGCTGAGGAGGCCGAGGAGGCGGCACGCCGGCGTCCACCCAGAGGTGTCCAGCTGCGCAGCACCACATCGAGGAGTTTGAGCGGTGTCGTTTCTCTCGCTGGGGCGTCAGAGGTTGAAGGCTGAGGAGGCCGAGGAGGAGGAGGCGCTTGAGGATGAGGCCGAGCAGAGGGACCGGACCATCTACGGGAGATCTGGTGTGTACAGCTTGGCGACACAGGCGTTCATTCTTGTCACGTTCCTGTATTCCTCTTCGCTTGTCAGTACGCGTCCTGCATGATGTTACTTGTCAGATTTGCAGCTGTTGGCTTCCCAGGAATATCCACATTTGCTTTGAAGAGTCCCAGGGCCAGGAGCCTTGCTCGATGGCGGAGGCCGTCCTGCAGGCATTGGCCTCAGCGGCGCCGGCGCCTGGGGCAGGGACCGCACCCGCGGCGAGCCAGGTCAGGGCCCCAGCTAACTTGGAGGAGGTGGTGAATCTCATGGGCCGGATTCTGATTAGACATGATCGTTCCTTGCAGATGCTCCAGGATATGAACTCTGTGACGGTGCTGGCGTTCCACTCCGACCCAAATTCCAGAATCAAGAAGGTCGGGCAGGAATGGCGGGACAAGAAGCCACAGTCCGGCCCGCATCCATGCGGTTTTTCCCAGCGAGCGATGGTCTGGGCTTCTCCTATCACAGAGGTGAAGGCGGCGCACACGGCACACGTGGCGACGCTCTCAGGGCCCTCCGCGGATCAAGCGGTTCTGGCTAAGGCAGTGGAGCAGGGGAAGGCGATGGAGGAGCTCAGCAAGGCGGACCTCCGGGACATCGAGAAGTGCTCCTTCAGGATCCAGGCGAAGCACGAGGAACCCCTCCAGGATGACACCAGGCCCTGGGTGTGGGCTCTCACGCTGAGCCGCCAGGCCCCTTTTGAGTTCGTCAAGATACTGGCGATGGCAGCGGACTTTGACTCCAAGTCCAAGGCCGTTCGCCTCGTCCACAGCAACAGCGAGGACGGCCCGCAGATTCAGGCCCTCCAGAAGTCCATCGGGGACAAGGGTGCAGGCAAAGGCGGTGGAGAACAGAGTGGACACAAGCGCCAGCGGCGCGGCAGTGCGATGGTGGGTGGTTGATCATTGAGGTCTGTATTGCATGCTTCGGGCCTTCCTCCCCTTCCTGGGCCCCACGGGGCCGGGGGGAGGGCCCACGTGCCCCTCCGGGGGCCCTGGGCGCCTCGGCGCCACGGAGCCGCTGCCGAGGGCCAATTCATTCAGCACGCTATCTTCTTCGACTGGGACCTCAGGTGCATGGGCATATGACGGCTCTTCGAGATGAAGCTCTACCCGGTCTTCCAGCTCACTCCCGGGTGCTGAATTTGAACTTGTTCTTGCATTTCTACATCTACTTCTTCTACTCGTTGTTATGATTATTACTATTATTATTATTATTCCATCTCTCCATTTTGATTGCGTACCAGTGCACTGCGCAAGTCCAGAAGCTTTTGCGGGACCCGGTCGCCCTGGCCGTGATGGGTCGCGACAAACTCAATAATCCCAAAAGGTGGCGCACAATTCGTTTTCGAAACATGCGGCTCCCGCGTTAGATCTGCGCATGTTCGCCTTAACACCTTGCACCATCTACAAGGATGGCGGGCTACTCCTTTTCAGAATGAGGCTCTCGCCTCAGCGCGGCGCACACTCGTCTAAAACGCATGCGATCGTTATAAGATGGTACGGGGGTTCCTTTTCAATATTGGGATGTCGCTTGAGAGTTCCTGGTGCTGCCACACCCGAAGCATCAACATATGCAATATCACACGCTGCAGGGCGCGGATAAAGGGCGACTCATTTTGAACATGGGGCTGTCGCCTGCGACTTCATTGATGTGCTTGGCAAGAGATGCAAACTCGTGCAACAATATCACGGGCATATCGCTGGACAACTCGTCGGACTGCATGATCACACCTGCTCGAACTCCTGACTACGTGCTGGAAGGATGCAAGCTAGTCCAGTTACAAAGCGGAAGTCTCGCCTGAATGGCAGGCTCATAAGGAGCTGGGCTTATTCTGGTCCTCAACCTCTTCCTCCTCGTCCATCTGTCGTTTCCCTCCATCCGTCAATCCTGTCGCCTGTGCCCGCTATCCTCTACGATCCCTCCTGTCTACCCACCCCCTTTCCGCCTCCAACTCTTTTTGACCTCTGCCTCCTCAGCCTCCCTCCTCTCTGATGTTGTGCTTCTCCTCTGTCTGCGATACTTTTGCCACCCCCTCGGTAAGGGAAATAATCGTCATCACCGACATCGGCCCACTCCCTGTCTCTTCATCCTCCCTCCTCTCTCTAACTCCACCCTCGTCCCCCTTCCTCTCCAACGCCCTCCTGCAGCTGCATCACTCGTCCGTCTTCCTCTAGCGGCCGCCTTCCTTCCACCTTTGCTCTCTGCCTCCTCCTTCTCCCTGCCTCCTCCCTGCGTCCTCCCTGCGTCCTCCTCCTCCTCCTCCTCCTCCTCCTCCATCTCCTTTTCCTGCCTCTCCCCCTCCCTGCTCCCTGCCTCCTCGGCCCCTCCCCCGCCACCCGCCACCATTGCTTCCAACTCCTCTCCCCCGCTGCTCCCGACTCACTCCTCGTGGATCCCAGCTCCGTTCTCGTCCCTCTCGTCGCCCCTCTTCTCTGCTCCTCCCCCCTCGCCTCTTTCGGGAGGCTCTGATCACCTGCGCGACTCCCACACAGACCGACGAGAAGCTGGACGCCTTCTGACGGATTCTGCGGGGCTGCGGCCCCGCCTCCGACCTCCTTGCGTAGGAAGCGCGCGGGGCGCACCCGCAGAGTGGCATCGGGCATCGACGCTCGCTCGCTCACCGCGACTGGCCAAAATTACTAAAGTCAGCACTGCGACTCCACATTTGGGCATGGACTGAGATCCGCCCCGTTCTCCCTTTCCCCCTCCCTCCTCACTGCTCATTCCCGAGCCCCTCCCTGGCTACCAACTCCCTGATGCCTTCATCCGATCCCTGGGCCCCGCGCAGGAAGGTGTAAGAGGAGGAAAGAAAGATGATGATACACAAACTGGACCCACCCCTCGAAAATTTCAAAATTAGTTCCCTGTACCTCGGTCTTCTACAACCCTCCCTGCTTTCCTTCCTCCCTTTCCCTCACGTCCATTCCTCTCCTTCCGTGTCTGCCCTGCTTCCCCCACCATCTCCCCATCTCTACTCTGTCCCGCCCTCTTCTGCCATCCCCTCCCCGCCCCGCCTGCCGTTTCACAGCTCCAGCATCCTCGCATCCCTGGATCCCGCCTCCCATCCTGCCCACCATATCACCGCGCCACGACTCTTCCATCCTGCCCATCCCACCAACCCGCGATCCTCCCATCCCGCCATCTCGACCCCTCCGCCGCCCCCAAACGCTCTCGCGACGCCACCCCGCTCACCTGGCGGCGATCAAAGCTCAGAGGTCAGAGGGGGCCGCCTCGTTCGGACGGGGGCGGCTCCCCGAAGACAGCACGCCCCCGCTGGCCCCCGCACTCTGAAAAAGAGGCGGGATGGGGAGGCGGGGGGCGGCTTTCTCAGGGGGATGCCCCCGGCCCCCCCCCCCCCTGGCTCGAGGCCGAGCCACCGCCCGCCCGCCCCCCCCACACACACACACCCTGGGGCCCGCCGCTCCGCACCCGTGCAGGGTCTGTTGGCTGCCCGGGGCCGGCCCTGGCCGCAGGCAGCGTGGCGCGGCTTGACGACGAACGGCGCCCCTGCCGCGGCCAGGTGCGAGGCTGCGGCCTGCGGCGCCCACGCCGCAGGGCAGGGCAGGGGCGCAGTGGCGCGGCAGGGGCGCGGCGACCGACCGAGCCGAGCCGAGCGAACGCAACCGACTACGGTGCAGCATTACCGACCCAACAGCGGGCCCCCGTGGTACAGTCGGACCTGAGCCAAAAAAGCATCCTTCAAGAACATAAGACCCTCCGTCGGCCAAGACAATCAGAACACCCAAGGGTACCCTCCCCAGGATGCACAAGAACATCCAACAATCACGAAAAACATGAGGGTACCCTCCCCGAACCGACCTCGATCTTATACCTCGGTCCGACTGTAGGAAAAGAAGCAGCAGGCAACAGCAGCAAGATAACGAGCAGCAGCAACAACAGCAGCACTACAACCCGTCATCAAGGTAATGCCGAAGTAAACACCGATTTCCGTCAAACCATAGTAGGGGCGGACCGTGGCACGTAATAACGACGACAACACAACAATACACCAACAACGCACCCAGGGACAGTGTAAGAGCGTTCGCCCCACCCCCTGACACTGATACGCCCCCCCTAACGTAGCCAATCCCGACCCTAACCTGACGCAGGCCCTGTCGACACTGAACCAAAGCTAACCTGACCCATTGAAGTTAACGTGGCCAATGGCTCGGCGACGCCAGTGTGTCACGCGCGCGCTGTAGCAAATGATGCACTTGAATAGGGCGACGCAGCAACATGCAATGCAAAAGTAAAAGCTGTACCATTAATCCTTCTTCGTTACCAAAGAAGAATCTGGCCAGCGCTGAAGCGAGAGCAACTGTCGCAATCATGGATGTGGCCGGCGTTGTGGCGAGAGCAACGTTCTCAATCATAGATGCGGCTGGCGCTAAGGCGAGAGCAACTTTCGCAATCGTGGATATGGCCAACGCTAGGCGAGAGTATGTTTTGCAATCCTGGGTAACCGGCGGTCTTTCCAGGTCGCGCGCCAGGGGCCAGTTGCGCGCTTGCGCGCAGGGCGAGGCTCGGGGAAGGCACTTGGCCGGAGAGTTGGGGCCGGGGGAGGCGGCGGAGGAGGCGCGCTACTCCGGCCTCTGCCCCGGCTGCCCGGACCGAGGCGCTCCGAGGCCACTGGGCCCCGATGTTTGAAACGTGCCATCAAGTTCCAGCGTGGGGCCCAAGATGCGTTGGGCGATGCGATTCTCTGATGGCTTCCCCGACGTCTCCGACCTCCCCCCCTCCCTCGTCCGCAAAACTTCGCGCGTCGGGCCCCTGTCGCGGGGCCTGGTCTCGACGGCTTGGCCCGCCGTGCGCGGCTCGAAGGCAGAGGCCCTGAGGTCCCCCTTGGCGTCTTCTCTTGGCTCTCGCAGCTGCCCCCCCGTGCCTCTCTCCTTCTTCGCCTCCGTCTGGGCCATCGTTCCGAAGGGCGTCCTTGAGGGCGATGGCCCAGTGGGCAGTCTGGTCTTTCGGAAAGCGTCGGGGAACATGCCGACTCGCTCTGGGAACGCCTCGAACGAAGCCGCCGCTGCGATGGTGAGCGACGGGCGGTCAGTCGCGGCGCAGAAGACCGGCCCCTCCATTCAAAACGGTGCCACCAAGGGCCGTAATTGCATTTGACTGCTATGCTAGGCTCGCGAGTTGCCAGGAACGCCCCGCGGCTGCCCTGCCCGCGTTTGACTTGTCCCAGGCCTTTCCGCCTGTGGGCCAGCGCTGGCTCCTGATAGCGGTCGATTCCGTGAATCTCCCCAGAGGGTGCGAGTTGCCGACAAAACGGCTTCCATATCATTAATCCTTGTCACTTCCAGTGCCGGGGGCGACCTGATCCTCTTGATTATGTGCGCTCTGGCGTCTTCCAGGGCTGCCCGCTCAGTCGCAGCTTGTTTGCGATTTCGGCGAACCCGCTCCTGTGGGGCATGCCCCGAACCATCCAGGTCCCTGGAGGCTGTCAGGCGCGAGCCTGCGCCGACGATGTTGCCGCGGTTGTCTCGGCTTGGCCACCAGGGGCTTTCGGGAGTTGGTTCGCGTCTGAAGGAACGCGGGCGCCGTTGCAGGGTTCATTCTGCAAGCCTCTAAATGCTTCGTCGCTCTGCTTTCTGCGCGGCTGAATGGCCAGCTCGAGGAATTGATTCGCCCGTTGCTTGCGTCTGCCGACGCCGCCCAGGCTGACTCCTAGGATTCGCGCAGTCGTCTCATACCTTGGCTGTTGGATTGGCCCCGACCTGGATGAGCAGAGAAACTGGGTCGACTCCGCGCGCAAATTGATTCAGCGCACTCGAGGCATTGCCGATTGCAGGCAGGATCTGGCCACGGGCCCCCCCCCCCGCGCACTTCGCCCGCGCCTATCCTGCCATTTTCTACGCTGCCCAGCTATATCCTCTGGCGCGGCAAGACGCAGGCCTTAGGCAGGACGCTGCTCGCTCAGATCTGTAAGATGTCCGTCTCGGCGTTGCGCAATAACTAGGCACTGGCGCAACTTAGGGTACTTCTTTGGGCCGCGGATCCGTTCCGTATATGCTTCCTCTGCGGGGGGCTCCCCTGATGCGCGCGGCTCTGGTCTCCTTGCCGCGGTGGCAAGCTGCTCCCGCCCGCTTCGGGAAAGCATTCGAAATCGAAGCAGCGCGGCCCTCTGGGCGGGCCCGCGGCTGGCCACGAACTTCTGGAGGCCGCGCCCCATCGCGTTCAGTCTAAGAGACGCTGCCGGATGGTTTCCTGGGGTGCTCGGCTGAGAACGTGGGGGGCGACGGGCGGTGGCTGCATTTTCTGGGGGATCCCAGGACTGAAAGCCACGATGACAGCGCGCATTCACTGAAGCCTTCGCTGGCAAGGTTCTCGCTCTGCCGCTGACCCCGCTGTTAGAGCGCCGCATTCGGAGATGGTTCGCCCCGTCGTTGGAGGCCTGGGTGGTCGAGTGGGGGGGCGCTCTAAAGAGCCCTGGCCAGAGCCCCGCCCAGTTGGGCCAGCGTTTCCCTCCGTGGCTGCATTGGGGCATGGGTCGCTGGCCACAGGGCGCAGCGTCTCCAAGGGCGCATCTTCGGCTGTCCAGACATTGTTTTTGCTTTGCCCACGCATTGTTGTTGTGCTTGCATGGGGATCGATCACCACGCCGCCATTGCCGTCCGCTCTGGCCTCCCCTCCTCGTTCATCGTCCGTCTCGGCTTGCGCGGTCATCTAGCGTTCCCTCTTACCTTGCATTCTGTCTTCCGCCTCGCGACCCAGAGGTCGAAGTCGCTCGGCCGCCCGCTCGAGTGCCGGGAAGCCGCGGCATTGACAGCTGCTGCTCGCGTTGCTTTACGGCTTCCGCTTCGCGGCCGACGGCGAGCTCTGCTGGGGGCGGCGGCCCTCCAGCAGGTTGTCGTCGAGGCCCGTGCGGGGTTGGTTTAGTCTGTGCGGGGACAGACTCGGCATCCTTCCGCCGCCAACTGCCGTATCCCCTCAGCAGCTATCGCGACGTCGACCCGGGGTTGGCCACCGATGTTAAGGGCGTATTCATGCGGAGGCCAGCATCATCATGCTCACTGCATTCTCTCTCGCTCTCTCTCTCTCTCTCTCTCTCTCTTGCGCGGGTTCAAATCCAGTGGGGCGCGTCGCGCCCAGCGCGGCACGCCTCGGCGCTGCGGTGGGCGCCCGTGGCCTCTCGCGCCAAACTCCGCGGCCTTCCTCCCAGCATCGTCGCTCACGCGTTTTGATGACCCCCGAACCACCAACATACCCAACCACCCGGTCATCGAGCAGGATGTCTTGGGGAGGTCTTTCAAAATTCTGCGGTGGTGATAGAGGCCAATGCGGAACAATGGATCGCGATTTTCGCCGCAGTACCAATACAAGTAGCATGATGACATCCACGCGGTCGATTTGCCGAAAATCTCCCCCCCCCTCGGGGGAAGAATGGGAGATGTAATCCCGCTCGAGGACGACGCTCCAGCAGGAGCTCTTGCGCCTTCCAGGACTCATCGCGAAGACCGACGACGTCCCAACAGGACACCTACAATAGCAGCCGCCCCACCACGGACGGCAGCTTCCAAATCCCAGAGCCTGAGTTCAGATACTCTTCACACATCTTCTTATGTTGGATTCTCTGATTTTGGTTCTGACGCAAGACGGGAAAACGAGTTCTCCGGCGGAAACATACCCATTTTCCTCCAGATTGTTCCCGACCATCCTGTGGTGTTGGGTCCTCGTTTTGAAGAGACAGCGCCCCGCGTTCACTCCTCCTCCCGCTGCCCCCTCCCTCCTGCCATCATCATCATCATCACCATCATCATCGTCATCATCATCATTATCATCATCATTATCATCATCATTCCTCTCCTCTCCTCTCCTCTTCTCTCCTCTCCTCTCCTCTCCTCCTCTCCTCTCCTCCTCTCCTCTTCACCCACCCAGTACACCGTTTCGTGGCCCCATTGGGAGCTCCACCGAAGGCCCCAGTGCCCGCGCCCGCATGCGTCACCCACACCCAATTCGGCACACCCCTCACACGCTTCGTGGCTCCATAGGGAGCTCCACCGAAGGCCCCAGTGCCCGCGCCCGCATGCGTCACCCACACCCATTTCGGCACACCCCTCACACGTTTCGTGGCTCCATAGGGAGCTCCACCGAAGGCCCCAGTGCCCGCGCCCGCATGCGTCACCCACACCCATTTCGGCACACCCCTCACACGTTTCGTGGCTCCATAGGGAGCTCCACCGAAGGCCCCAGTGCCCGCGCCCGCATGCGTCACCCACACCCATTTCGGCACACCCCTCACACGTTTCGTGGCTCCATAGGGAGCTCCACCGAAGGCCCCAGTGCCCGCGCCGCATGCGTCACCCACACCCATTTCGGCACACCCCTCACACGTTTCGTGGCTCCATAGGGAGCTCCACCGAAGGCCCCAGTGCCCGCGCCCGCATGCGTCACCCACACCCATTTCGGCACACCCCTCACACGTTTCGTGGCTCCATAGGGAGCTCCACCGAAGGCCCCAGTGCCCGCGCCCGCATGCGTCACCCACACCCATTTCGGCACACCCCTCACACGTTCGTGGCTCCATAGGGAGCT